GACCCTCTGAAGAAGGGTCTAGGCCCGAAACGTCAGCCTTCCTGCTCCTCTGATGCTGCTTGGCCTGCTGTGTTCATCCAGCTCTACACCTTGTTATCTCTAATTTGTTTTTGTGTTCCTTTCTCCATTGCTAGACTCCTTCTGCTTCCTTTTCCCTATCTACCTGATTATATTTCTTTCCCTTTTATACTTTAATCTGGTGAGGCTGGTGTGTATGCAGTGTGCATCCCCAAAGTCGAAGGATGCAGGTGGTCACTGCCTGTGGAGCATACCCTGAAATGTTGGGGACTCCTGGTCGATAAGGAGGCACGGAGGACCAATGACAAGCTGGAGTCACCAGGCCTCCACTTTGGCTTTCATGTTGGAAATTATTGCCATCTAACTTTTTGCCACTGCATGTGAGAATAGCAAACTGCATCCAAAAGGGGTGGGGGGGTGGTGGCTGTAGAGGATAGGTAATAATGAAATGTTAACATATGCAAATAGGTTTTTTTTACCGATCACAGGTGAGGTTCTGTTCTCGCCATTCAAATCTTGCATGGAAAACTGGACATCTTTTGTCTTGATGCTGAGAATCACATTTTCGCAATCTCACCATGTTTTCCCAACTGACTTGGTATTTCCCATTATGTACAAGGCCTGGGTAGATTCAACCCATAATATTTATTTCCCCCTTACTCCCCCACACACTCTGCTGCTCGTCAGTTGAGGGTTATTCCCGCTCACTTAACTGCAAGACATTACATATCTTTGGGATGCCTTAAATGAAAAGCACCATATAAATCCTTTCGCTCTAATTGCTTTTACTCAGTGTCGCCTGGTGCCTGTTGCAGAATGTTAGTGTGGTCAGAGCGTAAGAAATAGGACCTGGAGTAGCAGCTTTGTGAACTCCACTTCACACTTCAATTAAATAATATCTTGTCTTCCTGCATTATCCCCAGATCTATTGACTACCTTAGAATACAAAACTTCCTGCACTATCCCGAGATCTATTGACTACCTTAGAATATAAAAAAACTTGTCCACTGTATTGAATATATTGCATGACTGAACAGCCATTGATTGACCTCTTTGGGATAGAGAATTCCAAAGATTCACAACTCTTTGAATTAAGAAATATCTTCGTCCTAAATGCTGGCACTTTATTCCAAGTGTTACTCTTATCTTCCATCTACTCCTGAGCTTGTAACAACAGAGTTTGGCTATGATGAACTTAATAAATTAATACTTCACTGCATATAATTTTGTGCAAGAATAAGCCAACCAGGTTCCTTAAGTTGACAGAGTTTTATTTCTAAAACTCACTCGAGCACAGACGCAGAAATTAACAAAAGGTTTAAAATGTATAAATATATTGAATTACCCACTGTGAAGAAAAAGAAATCCCCATATGCAGGCAAGAATCAATCATAAAACTCTGCAAAGGTCAGGTTTCCAAGAAAAATTTAAAGTCAGAAAAAAATGATTTGTTTATTTACAGCTGAAGGCCCAGTTTCCACACTAGCTGCTGGAGCTGAGATTTCTCATAGGACCAGTTGTGGCTGATTGATTTCTCTTTTCCCATGGAGACAATGGTGTTGATTCAGAGTTCTAAGATCTCTCAGCTTGGTTCGAAGAAGTCTCCTGATGGGGCTTCAACACCAAACTATGAGAGAGATTTAAGAGGAAGACGGTGGGGGGGGTGGGGGAGCGAAGGCCATGTCACTTGTGTCCTGTGACATTTTTATCTGACTATATATTAGTTCACTATCACTGTATTTTACACACACAAATTGGGTTACGTGATTTCACTCTCTTAAAGAGCCTTTCAGACTAGGTATCTCCACCAAGCATTTTAGCTGCTTAAGCTAGTGTACTTTGCCATGAAAAGTGTTCTCTTCAAAAAGTTCAAGAAATGATCTGCCAATGATAAAATATAATATAGCGAGCCATTGACATTATAAATTAATGTTATAGGTAATATATCTTCACAACATAAGACTGGTCCTAGTTCTAGTCTCTACAGCTGGGACAAGCAGCTTTTACAGTATTTATCCTGTCAGATCCCTTCTGTGGTCCAGGGAATGTCTTGTCCAGTCAATCTCTCCTCATGGGACAATTCCCTCATTTTAGGAAACAAGTAAGGTAACCTTTGCTCTAGGGTGAATATGACCTTCCTGAGAAACCAAAACTGTACACACTGCAGCGAGTGCCTACATCATAGTGATTGCTGCAAAGCCCCCATCGATATTAGCCCCGATAAACATGATCGTTTAAAGAAGCCACTTCCGCCTTCCCTCTGAATCGTGATACCAATTGTTCTCAAAGGCTGAACAAGGTGTAACAGCAGGATTTCTAGTGTATTTATATTAATGCAACCAATGGTGACTTGGTGGTATTTGAAATAATGATAAGTTACTCGTGCTGAAAGCAAAAGAACAATACCCTTGAAGGAGACATTGCTTTATGAAATGGCTAGAGACCTCCCTTGTCTCAAACTACAACTCATCTCCAAACTCTTAAGCCACGTTTTTCATGAAGCAGTTCTGGGGTCACCTCTCCAGCTTTCACTCGTCCATTTTCCCGCCTACCCATGCAAACCTTAAAATTTAGTGTGGCAGTAACGAATTGTTTTTTCTCTTAATTCTTGAAATATTGAACACTACTCATCACTGTGTTACCCTATATGTTCCATTTCATGCTGCTGCTTGCTCCTGTCTGAATATTGCCTCTGTATGTCAAAACCTGTTTTTCTCCTTTCCACAGCCTGCTGGATAATTTCTTGGTTACTGTCTAGGTGCTGCAAGGGCTTGACTGTACGGAGTGGAGGATTGTCACTGCAAGAACTAAAAGGGAGGGAAAGCTCTTTAACCAAGTCAAATAAACTATAGTAAGGGCGATTAATGAATAGGAACATGGGAAGAGGCCATTCATTATAGATATTTTGATCAACCTTTTCAGACCTGTTATGACATATCTCTGGAGCAGGTGAGACTTGAACCTGGGCCATCTAATCCAGAGGTAGGGATATTACCACTGTACCATAATAGCCAGTTTCCATTTAATTACATTTAAGGCCAATCTATATCTTGCTTCCACTACATACCTTGGTTCCATATTTCTTAAAATCCTTGCTCAACAAAAATCTAGCAATCTTGAGTTTTGAAGTTTTCAATTGATCCTCAAGCCTCCCCCTTTCTGTGAAGGAATGCTGCAGGTTTCCACTCTTTATGTGAAGAAGTGTTTCCTGAAAACATCCCTGAACTGCTTAACTCTTTTAAAGATCATGTCCCTTTATCTGGACTTCCCCCACTAGAGGACATAAGTTACATAAGAACTATCAAATAATATGTAGATTATAAATGTCTTAATTTGACAGTGTCATCTATTTTTAGAGGAATATGGGCCTGGATTGTGTGACCCACCCCCTTAATTTACATTTCTTCTGTATTTGACCATTAACTATTAATGATGTGTATAGAAGGTCTGCTGCTCCACAGTTTTTCACTTTGCAGCATTTAGAAAATACAATTCCTTATGTCCCCAAACCTCATCTAATACAGATTTGCCCACTCACAATCTATCGATGTTCCATTGCAATTTTTGCTCCTATCTATACTACATTGTACCCACCTAATTGAATGTTATCAGTAAACAGGCAGAGGACAGAACTAACAAATGGAATGGGATCAATATTTGAAAAAGAACCATAAAAAAGATGTGGAGGAGTGGAGTTACAGCAGAGACTACCTGCACAGACTCTGCATTAATGGCTTCTATCCTGTGTTGTAATATTTATCTTTCTATCCTCCTTTACTCAGCATTAGCACAAGTCCAAACAATAATTTAGAAACATTGGTGCTGATATGAATTTAAGATTATGTATGTGCCTTTTGGAATACACTCCCAAACACTGAGCCAGCTGCCTTTGGCCTGAACCACACTTGAGAGTCCAGACAATCGAGAGTGTGAAGTTCAAGTACAGGTCAGCTCTGACTTCAAGTTCAGTCATCACCTGCACAGGGAACTAGAGTCCAAGGAGACGCAGATGAGGAACATTAAACGTGAGGAACCTGGCCATGTCTTACACAGTGCAAGTGAATATCGGTGAAATATACGGTAATATTATACAGGAAGGAATTCTGCTTTGTGTTTCTCAGGACCAGGAACTTGGTCATCTTGCTGACAGACATGCCCAAGAAGCTGAGCAGCAGTGTTTGGGATCTGTAGTGGTTCCTATGAGCCACTCTCCAATGGCCAATATTGTAGGGAGGACAAAAAAAAATCCTTCGAAGACACTCTGAAGCCCTCCATGAAGTGGGTCAGCATTGACATGAATGCCTTTGAGGAGTTTGCTACCAATTGTTCAGAATGGCAACTTTGATCATCAAGTTATATCATGCTTCAAAGAGTTCTAAGGCCTTAATGATGAAGTAGAGCAGAGGTAGAAAAGGAATGAAAAAGAAGGAAATCTTGCATTCTTGATCCCACTGATTTGTGGAACCTCCTACTTCAAGTGCCAACAATCTGCATGTTTAGAAGTTGAATCACACCAAAACCCTCGGTCGAAACTTGCAACCCTGGGTCGACATCTTACTAGGATTGAGGGACAGCTGACGAAGACAGGTAGGAAAACTGGTGTGTCAATTAGATAGTGCATTATTCTACTGTTGATTATGGGAAGAGTCTTATTGGCCCTGCAGAGGCTGCAGTTGATCTTCACCCGGGGAGGTCACATTCTGACTTGAATTTGGTAAGTTTCTACCAATCAGTTGTCATTTTGGAAGTTTCTGTGAATGTTTTGAACTTGACAAACGATGCCCCAGTGGGGGCTGTTTAAACCATTCTCTGATTGAGCCAAATGGTTTCCTTCAACGCTGCAATAGTTCACAGTGTAATATTTGTTGTGGTGCAAATTTGCATCAGCTGGTTGTCAAAACTTTTCACCTTACGAGGATCTTTTCCCTAGGCCAGGGGAGTTCAAGACTAGGGGGCATATTTTTAAGGTGAGAGGAGAAAGATTTAAAAAGGACACAGTTTTTTTTTCCACAGAGACTGGCTTGGGTGTGGAAGGTACAGTTACAATGTTCAAAAGACATTTGGATAGGTACACGAATAGGAAAGGTTTGGAGGGATATGGGCCAAGTGCAGGCAGGTGGGACTAGTTTAGTTTGGGAACTTGGTCAGCCTGGTCTCTGATCTACTTGTGTGTCCATGCAATTTGTAGGGCAGCATCGTGGCTCAGTGGTCAGCACTGCTGCCTCTCAGCACCAGGAACCTGGGTTCAATTCCACCCCTGGGCAACTGTCTGTGTGGAGTTTGCACGTTCTACCCATATTTGCATAGGTCTCTGCTGACTGCTCGGGTTTCCTCCCACAGTTGAAACATGTGCAGGTTGGGTGGTTTGGCCATGCTAAATTTCCCATAGTGCCCAAGGATGTATAGGTTAGGTGCATTAGCCAGGGAAATGTAGGGTTACAGGGGAAAGGGTAGGGAGATGGGTCTGGGATGGCACAGTGTGGAGCTGGAGGAACACAGCAGGCCAGGCAGCATCAGAGGAGCAGGAAAGCTGATGTTTTGAGCTGCGACCCTTCTTCATCTCTGAAGGAGGGTCCTGCCCCTGGGATGGGATGCTCTTGGGAGGGTTGGTGTGGACCTGTTGGGCTGAATGGCCTGTTTCCACAGTGCACTGATTCTGTGTCTGGTTGGATCGAGGGGTGTGATTCCGTGCTGTATCGCTCCACCAGAGCGGCTGGTCCATAAGAAGTGCAACTACGACAAGGCAATCTCTTCCCCGACCCATTCAAAACTGCAGTTGTGGGTTGCAGCCACCAGGTGGTGAACGGTCCAGCGGGAAAGTTGGTGACTTTGTGCAGTGTTTGTGGAGACGGCTAGTCGGCGCTGTTGAGTCTTTGCCGGAGTCCCGGGAGCTGTCAATCAATCGTCTCGTAGGGGGAGACTGTAGGGGGATGATGGGTTTTGCAGCGGTCATGGTCAGCGCAGTCCCGCAGCTCGTTCTGCAGCATGTGGTCAGGTAAGCTCATCGCAGCGAGGGGAGAAAGAAAGAAAGAAAGAAAGAGGCTGCTGACGTGAGCCTGGGCTTTAACACGGTGCTGAGGCCTGAAGGAACTTTCCAATGCTCCCATCCCAGTTCAGAGCCCTCGTGAACAGGGCTGCGGGGTGTTCAGAGCCTCATCTAAAACATTAAACACAGAAAAGGAACTCCTGGAACTTTGTTTTTGCTAAAATTCAGTTGCCGAGCAACCTTAAGACCATTTTTTTACTGCTCCTTCCAATGATCTGTTTAAGAGCAAAGCGCAGAAGCAGTGGGCCGGGTTCACATTTGTGGAGTTTGAGCAGAGTGTATGTATAGAAAATAAACATGATATCAATTAATACAGATAATTAATTGATATTATTCGTGTAGTACAGACTGAAGAACAAGAGGAGGCCATTCAGACCTTGAAATTTTTTAGCCAATGTTGAATTATGATTGAAAGTTTTCCTTTACAATTCCTACATGTCCACTGATCTTTTTTGTTGTTGGAATCTCATTAGTATTTTACTGCGTATCCATTCCTGTATGCCTTGGCATTTTCATTTCAAAAATATACTTTAATCATAAAATCATTGGTTTAAGTACATACAAATGTTCTAAATCATATCTGCATTGTTTTTTTTTCTGCAAAGACTATCATTGGAGCTTTGACATTTCTCAGAGCTTTTCTACTCTTACAAACAACAAATGCATTTTCTGCTTCTGCTGGAAACTATAGAGTCATAGTCATATAGCACAGAAACAGGCCCTTTGATCCAACTGGTCCATGCCAAACATAATCCCAAACTAAACTCGTCCCACCTGCCTGTTCCTGGCCCATATCCCTTCAAACCTTTCCTATTCATGTATCTATCCAAATGTATTTTTAATGTTATAATTGTATCTACATCCACCACTTCATCAGGAAGTTCATTCTGCATGTGAACCTCCCTCTGTGTAAAGCATTTGCCCCTCATGTCTTTTTTAACTCTGTCTTCTCACCTTAAAAATGTGCCCCCTAGTCTTGAAATTGCCCATCCTAGGGAAAAGACAACTACCATTAACTCTATCTTTACCTCTCATACTCGGCAACATCCTGCTAAATCTCTTCTGAACCCTCTCCAGCTTGATAATGTTCTCGGGGGACTCCTGCACTGCTTGTGTATTCTTCTGGATAGACTGAGGGACACCCAGTCCCTCTCTCCTTGCATAGTCTGAAACTGCAGGATGACCACTTGTATACACACGCTGTCTTCAAAGTTGTTAACCTCACAAATGTGCCGCAGTGACAAAGCCTGAGGCATGAGCTGCTGCAGCTGATAACATTTCTTGCACTTCTAATAATCCAGGACACAGGAAATGACCTCCAGGGATTGCAGTTGACCTGCCCTTCCTTTACATGTTATATAATAAACTTCCAAATTTGGGAACAAAAAACATGTCTATCTCAGTCTTGAAAGCTCCACTTGTCTTTGGATCCAAAAACTTTTGGAACAGAGTGTGCCAGATTCCCTACTACTTGTCACGTGAAGAAGTGACATCATTTTGTCTTTGTGGTAACTGCTACAGAGCAGCTACAACCTCTGGCTGAGTGTTGGTCCAGAAAGAATAGAGCAGCGGTGATGGATAAGGTTGAAAAATGCACATTGTGATGTGTTTTGGTCTTGTCTGTCAAACGAGATTGTTTCTGCTTGTACAGACCCAGCTTCGTTATTGTTAACCCTACTTCTCCCAAGCAGTAAAATGCTATTGGAGTTAGTGGGGCTGACAGATTGCACCATTTTCTGAACTGTTGGTTCAATTTTAGGCTCCTGTGCTGGATTGAATGTAACATTTAACTCTTTTGCATAGGAGGAATCATTTAGCAAGGAAATTAATGAGACTGGCAGCAACTTACGTGAGCAGTGCTAAAGATTCTGGCCTTTCGTACCAAGCAGCAGTGTGCACTGAGCTGAAGAAACCATTAGTGATCCAGAAGCTGCCTTCACTTCCACTCAAACCCACTGAGGTAAGTTGCTCTGGTCAGATAAATGCAAAGTACTTTATATAAGCTGTTAGCTGTCAGTCTGATGTAGATTCAGAACGTTGTCAGAAGTGAGATTTGTCATTACATTTAGTGCCCTTGAGCTAGGCTACAAAATTAACCTAATTAATGAAACAAAATAACATGAAAGCTGCTGCATACCTGATTTATTTGTTATAATGTTTTGACTGATCTGGGGGAACTGCTTGCTGAGACTGACAAATCAAGTGGTTATGAGAGGTCAGTTAACGGTACTTGACGGGTGTGGGGCGGGGCGGGTGTTGGTGGAGACATGTTGACCTGATGTTATCTGGGACAGGAGACACTATGGCGTAATATAGATGCACTGGAAATGCATGACCTGGACAAGAGATATGGTGACACAAGAGACCAATATCTCGCTAATGCTGTATAATTCCATTGAAATGTGTAAGAGTGCCAGGGACTGAAAGACTTCATACTGAGTGGTGTGCTAAAGCCCTTCCACTATGATGACGTCAGACAGACTTGGTGGGAGAACAGCTTAGGATCTCGAAGAATCTCCTGGCCCTTGTAACAATGTCTTATCGTACAATTATAACTTGTACATAGTTGCCAAAATACAATAAACTATATTTTGTTTAAGACAAGGGCTTCTTGTTGGATATGCAAGTAGTTTTCCTCTACCACAATAGACCAAATAGGCCGTGTAAGTCCCAACTATAAAAGAGGATGGGGGCATTAAACTTGCCTCATGGTGAGCAAGAGTGCAGACAGCCTCATCCAACATGGTGAGCAGTGGTGAGATTACTATTTAGCTGCAGTAGCAATGGAGGTCTAAAGACATCTTTAAACACTACTTGAAAATCTTGCTCATGTAGACAGTCAGTAGCAGAAAGAGTGGAATATTCAAGAACCCAACAAAGGAGAAATTACTGGCAAGATTCAACAGGCTACAGTCAATGGTAAAAGCATTTCAGACCCCGTTAGAGATGCACTGCAGCAGGAGAGTTAGGAGCTCTTTGGAAAAGGAAGTGTGGTTACTCCAAAGCTGGTACATTTCTGAGTTTGAGGTACAGCCAGAGCGGTGAATGATATTCAGGTTCTGTGGGTAAAGTTAAAATCCTGGGTGGGCAAGGGAAAACTTTATAAAAACTGGCACAGAGTTATGGACTGGGAAAGCTAGAAGTACTTAACTGTTCAGATCAATCATTGCTGCTATAGTAAGCGGGCACCAGAAGGCATGCCTACAGTAAGGGAAGTCATGGGCCACTGAAGCAATTCAAAAAGTGATAACCCAACAAAGCCTAAAGAGACTTTACAAAAGGGTCGGAGAGAAGAATTAGTATTGGGGCTGAAGACATCAGAAATCAGCCAGAAAACATTATGATTAAAATGGGAATGGTTATGATCAGTTGGAAGTGGGGTTTGTTCAGTCAAGCCATTATGGAAATGGGAATCGTTTATTTGTCCATTGTTTGCGGGATTCATCCAGAGTAGCTGCAGAAGATGTGGGATCCTCTATTTTACCCATGGAAAACAGGAATCCTCCACTTTCACCCAAAAAAAAGGAAAACCCTCCAGCAACAGCATAAAGCAGCAGCACTGCTGTTACTGTAAATTTGGAAGACTTCAAAGGAAGAAAAATCAATAATCACACTCGTAAGATACGGCTTCATAAACAATATTGCAAAGAAGAGACAGAAATAGAAATTGCCGGAAAAGCTCAGCAAAGTCTGGCAGCATCTGTGGAGAAAAATCAGAGTTAACGTTTCGGGTGGAGTGACCCTTCCTCAGAACTGATGGGAGCTAGGAAAACGTTGGTTTATATGCAGAAGATAGGGTGGGGGAAGGGGTAAGGTATAAACAATAAGTGGGGATAGAGCCCAAAGAGAGAGACAATCAGTTGAACAGATAAAGGTGTGGATAACGATCTGGCTCGGAGGGTGAAGAGCTATTAATGGTGACTTTTACTGGCTAACAATGAGTTGTGTATAATAGCAGACTTTGTGATAACAAGGGTTGGTGTGTGGAGATTGGGATAAGGACATGGTAGAGCTCAAGGTCTAAAGTTATTGAACTTGACATTGAGTCCGGAAGGCTGCAGGGTCCCCAAGCGGAAAATGAGATGATGTTCTTCCAGCTTGCATTGAGCTTCACTGGAGCACTGCAGCAAGCCAGAGGCAGAGATGTTGGCCAGGGAACAGGGTGGTGTGTTAAAGTGTCAGGCAACTGGAGGTTCAGAGTCTTTTCTGCGAACAGAACGCAAGGGTTCTGCGAAGCGGTCACCCAGTCTATACTTTGTTTCCCCAACGTAGTGGAGACTGTATTGTGAGCAGCGAATGCAGTAGACTAGTTTGTGTGAAGTGCAAGTAAACAGCTGTTTCACCTGGAAGGTGTGTTTGGGCCCTGGGATACTGAGGAAGGAGGAAGTAAACATGCAGGTGTCACACCTTTGGTGGTGGCATTTCACTTGAGGTAGCAGAAATTACTGCTAATGATCCTCTGGATATGGATGCCAGTGGAATGGTAGGTGAGGACAAAGGGGACTATATCACCGTTGTGGGAGGGAAGAGAGGGGTGAGGGCAGAAGTGGGGGAGATGGACTGGACCCGGTTGAGGGCTCTGTCAACAACGGTGCTGGGGAATCCTTGGTTGAGGGGAATGGTGGAAATTTCAGAGGCTCCCTTGTCAAAGTTGCCATCATTGGAACAAATACGACGGAGATGGAGGAACCGAGAGAATGGAATGGAGTCTTTACAGGAAGCAGGGTGTCCGGATGTACAGTCCAGATAACTGTGGGAGTCAGTGGGCTTATATGGGATATTGGTGGCCAGTTTATCCCCAGAAATGGAAACAGATGTCGAGGAAGGGAAGGGAAGATTCAGAGATGGAAAAGATAAAGGTGGGAGCGGGATGGAAATTGGAAGTGAAATCAATAAACTTTTCCAATTCCAAATGAGAGAGGGAGGCAGCACCGATGATATCATGGATATACCAAGGAAAGAGTTGTATTCCAGAATAGGACTGGACCAAGGAATGTTCCACATACCCCACAAAAAGGCAGGTGTAACTGGGGCTCATACGAATACCCACGGCACCCCACCCCCCTGACCTGAAGAAAGTGAGAGGAGTTAAAAGGAAAGTTGTCCAGGATGGGGACAAGCTCATCCAGGCAGAGGAAACAGGTGGTGGATGGAGACGGTTCAGGCCTTTGTTCCAGGAAGAAGCTGAGAGCCCTGAGGCCATCCTGGTGGGGGATAGAGGTGTAAAGAGATTGCACGTGTTTGGTAAAGAGGAGACGGCTGGAGCCCACAAACTGGAAATTCTGAAACTGGTGTAAAGTGTCCGAGCAGTTGCGGATGTGTAAGGAAGATCTAGGCATATAAGATCGTTGCTTAAGGCACTCGTCAGTATTAACGCTTTCAGGTCGTTACACCTTTGTACATCAATATTGATTCTGTTTGACTGAAAATGCCCTGCTTTTTGACATTAGGTGCGTGTGGATGTTCATTACTGTGGTGTGAACTTTGCTGATTTTCTGATATGTCGGGGCCTGTATCAAGAGCAGCCTCCAATGCCCTTCACTCCAGGTAAAGCCAGCCTTGGTCTTATAAGAATAACAGATGTTACCTCTTTGTTTGGATCTTGAGTTCAAAAGTTTAATGCCATTTGATTTTTTACTCGGGTGCATCTTGAGCCTGCCCATCTGAAGCAAACTTAAAGCCCGTATGAGGTTTATGGTAGGAATATGCTTGAATTTTTCTTGGCATGAATTTGGAAAAGAAAGCAACACTTAATATTTGTATAGTGCCATTAAAGTAGCAATACTGCCATGACACTACACAAAGTGGTTATCAAATAAAAGGCCACTGTTGAGATAACAGGACGTGATCAAAAGCTTGGTCAAAGTAGGTTCCTTTTAAGAAGTGTCTGGAAGGAGAAGAGTGAGGTAGAAAAAGCGAGAATTTTTTAAAATAAATTTCATGGGATATAGAGGTCGCTTGCAAGGCCTATGTTTGTTGTCAACTCCAGTTGCCCTGAATAACCTGCTAGGCCATTTCAAGGATCAATTAAATCAACCACTTTGCTCTTAATCTGGAGTCACGGTAGCAGATTTCCTTCTCGAAAGAAATGATATTAATGAGCCAGATGGGTTTTTGCAACAACTGATGATTGATGAAACCAGCTTTCAATTTCAGATTTATTTGTTGAATTTAATTCCCACCAGTTGCTATAATGGGATTTGAACTGGTGTCCCAGGCCATTTATCTGGACCCCTTGGATTCCTAGTCTAGTGCTGTTCCCACTCTGCCACAATCTCTCTACCCTTTGCAGTTCCAGTGCTTAGGATATAGGCAGCTGAAGTCATGGCCACCAATGGAATAGTGATCACCTTCGGTGAGGCCAGAATTGAAGGAGTGCGGATATCTGTACGATTGAAGGCTAGAAGAGAGTGCAGAGATAGGGAGGGTTATGACCCTAGAGGAATGTAATGGAGCAGAGATAAGGGCTGCATTTTCGGACAACGATCAGGATGAGGGAGATAAATTATTTTAAATGGGATTGAAGATGTCAGAAGTGGAGATGACCAGAGGATGAATTGTCAAAGTGTGGGGATGAGTGGAAATCCTAACGGAAGTTAGATGGGATTTTAAGGTCTTAGCGTAAATTTGTAGCATGGATTGTGGATGCAGTTAGGTGGGATTTGGAAAATGTAGCTTAGGAATTGGGAGAAAATATTTGCCAAATGTGGGAGGGGTGTAATGGAGTTGGGGAGGATAGTGGGGTCAGGAGGGATGTAAGGGGGTTGGAAGGTAAAGGGCTTGCAACGGATATGGTGGAGTTGGGGAATAAAGTGGTTGGGAGGGGTGCATAGGGATTTGGGGTAATGGGGTTGGGAGGGGTATAATAAGGTTCAGGGGTAACGAGGTTGGGGAGGGTGATCAGGTTGGGAGTGGAGAATGAAACCAGGTAATGACCAGATACGGTCTTTTCTGTGATTTCATAATTAAGACCACATGAGAATAAATAATTTCTTTTACACTTTAACAGACCTACTCACCACTATCAAAGACTTTCACAATCCAATGTCATGGTTGTAATGTAGGAAACACAACACAATTTGTACATAGCAAGATACCATAAACAGCAACACTATTATGACCTGAATAATCTATTAAACCTACTGAGAGGGCAGATGGACTTCAGTTTAATATGTCATCTGAAAGACCGTGTTTCTGACAGTGCAACACTCCTTCAATCATTTACTGGTCAAGATTTGGAATGGGACTTGAACCAAAAACCTTGTGACTTAGAGACAAGAGCATGTTTCCAATTGAGACATGGCTGACATTGAGTGAACTGACTCTAGAAAGAAAGTATAATGAGTTAAGATGGAAGGTGAAGTCACTAAGGATGGGAAGTCACTTGGTGCAGAGACCAAGGAAGGGAGCAGCGATGATATCTCTGAGACACTTGGCATGGTATTTGGGTGGGCAGTAGAGGACCAGGATTTTCAATGAGTGGTGAGAGGCATTGAACAAACTGAGATGCGCAGTAGAGTGAGGGGCCAGTTGAATCTGTAATTTGGTGATAGCCACACTCCCCTTGATGGTCTGGGTTCAGGGAAGCACTAGAAGGTAGAGCCAGATGGGGAGACTTCATTTATGGGGAAGGTTTCTGTCAAGACCACAACTTGGTTAGAAATAATAGAATAGAATAGTCATTTATTGTCACTCGTATTTTCACAAAAATGTACAGTGAAAAGTTGCCATACTCTGGCACCTACATTAATAACAGGAATGAATTAAGACAAAGTCCATCTTTGTTCAATTCATGGCTCGTGGGTTCCCAAGGTCGCAGGAAAGACAGGAACCACATTCTCCACTGCTGCAGAAAGCCAACATTGAAGCCATTGAACTTTGGGTCAGTGGAATTCCAGGCTGGATCACCTCGCTGCCAAAGACACCGCTGAAGCCACCTTAAGGACCCGCCTCGACCCTGAAATGACTGAAGAAAGTGAAGGAATCTGGACTCTGCTCGTTTCTTTTCATCTTGGCTGAATTTGGCTGCTTCTCAGAAACTGGCTGCTCACCTGGTGTCCCTTTAGCCCTGGCACGGAATAAAGATGGTGGAATGACGTCAGTGTTTCTTTTCTCCCCCACCACCCAACTGACCAAGTCGGAAGTGAGATGGAAGAAAGAGGCAAGATTTAACTCCCTAACAGGAGAGGTCGGACAAACTCAAGCTGGTTAAGTTTGAAAGGAACTGAATAAGAGGGGGTGGACTTGTGCACAATATTCGCAGTTTCAAAAATATAACCTGGATAACCTCCTCAAAATATTTTGGGATAGTAGGACAAGAAGGAGTGGGATAAAATTGTTGAAAGTTTAGAACAAATATTAAGAAACACTTAATTCACAGTGTGCTGAACACATTGAAAGATCTTCTATCATCTGGGGGAGATGCTCTCGTTCTTATTCAAGAGTCTGTCAGATAATTTGATGAGGATCTTGGCAATGTTGGAATTGTATTTTTTTTTTAGCTGAGTGGATGTGCTGGAATGGTCCAACCCCATTTTCATCTAGTGTATGAATTACAGAGAATCAAAAAAATAAAAAGCAAGACTGCTGTGATTATTGGATAAAATCGAACTCTCAGGATGAATTGCTTCACCAGATTAAACACTTTTTTTTTAAACAGGAATGGAGTTCACAGGGTCTGTGCTGGAGGTTGGTCCCAATGTCACAGCGATTCACAAGGTAAGTGTTTAATGGTGTCCTCTGAGGCTTTGTGTTTCTCTAACATATTTGCTGGCACCATGTGCCCTGTGTGGTTTGGTACTGAGCTGGCATGAGGTTCCAGATTTGTTTCCTGGCATTTACTGATTTGGTGTGATTTTACAGAGTCTGCAGTTCACCTTGGAGACCCCAGACTAGGGTGAGAAGTGGCTGAGAATTGATGGAATTATCCAGGGCTCCTGTTTCCAAATACAGTCCAATCGATCTCTGATGGACAGTGTGCACTTTTGAAAGTACTTATGAACAGGACTTGATCTTGGATGCAGTACACTTTACATCTAACAGATAATAGCACATCAAGAATGGCCTTTTGGGTGGATTGCCACAGTCAGCGAAAAAGGTTACCTCATAGTACAACAGGATCTTGATCAGATGGGCCAGTGGGCTGATGAGTGGCAGATGGAGTTTAATTTAGATAAATGTGAGTTGCTGCATTTTGGAAAGGCAAATCAGGGCAGGACTTGCACACTTAATGGTAAGGTCCTAGGGAGTGTCGCTGAACAAAGAGACCTTGGAGTGCATGTTCATAGTTTCTTGAAAGTGGAGTCGCAGGTAGATAGGATAGTGAAGAAGGCATTTAGTATGCTTGCCTTCATTGGTCAATGCGTTGAGTATAGGAGTTGGGAGGTCATGTTGCAGCTGTACAGGACATTGGTTGGGCCATTTTTGGAGTACTGTGTGCAATTCTGGCTTCCCTGCTATAGGAAGGATGTTATGAAACTTGAAAGGGTTCAGAAAAGATTTACGAGGATGTTGCCAGGGTTTGGAGGGTTTGAGTTTTCGGGAGAGGCTGAATAGCGTGGGGCTATTTTCCCTGGAGTGTCGGAGGCTGAGGGGTGACCTTATAGAGGTTTATAAAATCAAGGCATCGATGTGGTAAGTAGACAAGGTCTTTTCCCTGGGGTGGAGGAGTCCAGAACAAGAGGGCATAGTTTCAGGTGAGAGGGGAAAGATTTAAAAAGGACCTAAGGGGCAACTTTTTCACGCAGAGGGTGGTGCGTGCATGGAATGAGCTGCCAGACGACGTGGTGGAGGCTGGTACAGTGACACATTTAAAAGGCATCTGGATAGGTATGTAAATAGGAATAGTTTAGAGGGATATGGGCCAAAAGTTGGCAAATGGGACTAGATTAATTTAGGATATCTAGTGAGCAGGGGCGCATTGGACCAAAGGGTCTGTTTCTGTGCTGTGCATCTCTATGACTGTATCTGTGGAACTATTCCCAAGTGACAGTCCATGCCTTCAGGAGTGGAGAGGAAAAGTTGAGGATGGGAATTCTGTGTCTGAGAGGGGTCAGACAGGAAAGTTGAGTTGGCACCACAACCAGATCATCTATCAATTATTGGAACATGCTGAAAGGACTGATTGACCTATTTCTGCTTCTAAATCTTATGAATTTTCACAAACATTTCATTTTCGATGCTTTTTCGGACTAGATTGGGCATAATGAGGCCTCTGCATTGTTTCCCACTTCATGTTTGATAAGTGATATTTTATCCAAGATTACTATTAATTGTATTGTTAAACAGAGATGGTTTGTCACAGCAACGCTACTCCAGTATTTTAGTTTTAACACTTTGAAAATATTCAGTCTGAATAAACATCTGTTGAAGATCTGCCAAGGTATATCTGGCTATTTGGTTTGGAATTGTATTCCACATGTATAAACTATTTTCCAGTGCAATAACTCAGTGTATTGGAGTGCTAGCATGCCATATAACAGTTTCCGAACTGTGTGCAGCACAAGTTCTCCTAACGTGTATATTTCTGTTCAGGGAGACCGTGTGATCGGTGTGAGTTCTACTGGGGCAATGGCAGAACAGTGCGTTGTTGACCACACGGTAAGTGGTATTATACACCAAAGGGGCTCATCATTGAAGTTCTTCTGTCGGGAATTAGTGATTTAATGTGTCTGTCGTTGGATGAGTGGGTTGTGAAACAAGAATGGTTTGTTATGAATATCGGCTTTATGGTTTAAATACTCCTAGAAATGGGATGGTACATGTACCACACAGCCTGCATTTCTGGGGGACCATCAGGACATAAACTAAATCAATGTCTGTGGGAGTTTTACTCAACATCTTTGACATGTTTTCACTAAGATTACAATGCGTGGCGTAGTGCTGTTATGAACTGAAATCTATAGCGTGAGTTAAACGTAGCTTAGTTTAATAATTAACTGCAAATTATGATAGTTGCTTTATGGTAAAACGTGCCCATTGTTGTATATGGCATTAAGGGGTTAATACTGAGGACTGCCATAAGTACCACCCAACTTAAAGATGTCTAGGCTTTTGGGCAGAGCAGTTTAGGATCTCAAAGGATTGAGACCTACTTCTAACCCTCCTTGCTGTCTGTGTAACAATGCTTATCAAACCTGTGTAACAACTACGTTTTCAACACGAGTGTCTCTTCCAGTTCAACAAGAAAACAGTTTTCCCTCTATCAAGCAGGCCTTGTAGATCCCCAAATCCACGGAGGATAGTGGCAGCAAACCTATCACATGGTGAAGTGCAGACAACTGCACATACAACACCCATCATGTTCCCCAGTTAGTTCAAAAGTCCTAAGAGCAAGGCATGCAAGATCACCACTTATAGGCTAAAAGTAATGATGGAAATTTAATTGCACATAAAATGTTACACAGAGATCCATATTATCATTAATCTCCTTTAGCACACAATGTATGCTTTACCCTATCACAGCACATTTAATCTTCTGAAATAGAATTTTAGATCCTTGCTGAGTGGGTAATGTGGTGAAGAGCACGGTGGCTCAGTGGTTAGCACTGTTGCCTCACAGTGCGAGGGACCCAGGTTCGATTCCACCAGGCCATTTGGCCCACAGAGTTGACATCAACCCTCCAAAGATGCTCTTTGGAGGGTTGATGTCAACTCTATGGGCCAAATGGCCTGCTTCCACACTGTAGAGATTCTATGATTACCTCAGAAATTCAGAACCCAAGCATTTAATGGGTTTAAGTTCCACTCCAGCAAAAGCTTGCCTCCTACTTAAGTATGACTGAAGGGAGTACAACACTGTAGAAGGTGCCACCTTCCTGGTGGAGACATGAAGTGCTGGTCTTCTCAACAACCTCCTCAACTTGACAGTCGGAGAAAGTCACTGGGCGTTCTGCTGTTGACTATAATCCGGTTACCTCTGTTAGAAAGCAGACAGTGTGTGAGTTTTCAACAGTTGAATAGCCTGTCAGTGTTTGAGGTGCGGGATGGAGCATGAACCACTGGGCCAAGTGGAATCATACCCCACATTATTAATATCGTACAAGAGCGGAGAGGAAGAAAATTGGGAAATGCCTGAATGGAGTACAGTGTGTAATCCAGCAGGAGACAGTTGGGTGATAAAAATACACATGACTGACGTGCAGACTAACTTGCCTGAAATCTGTACAGATGCTGTGGCCCATTGGAGAGGAGATCCCCTATGAAGTGGCTGCTGCTCTCCCAGTTTCATATGGCACAGTGATTCTGGCACTGCAGCACCGAGCGAAGACAAGGCCAGGGTGAGATGCCATTGTGTATTGTTTTTTTAGTGCAACTTCAATATGATTGTCAATAGACAGGGGCTGTGCTGCTGGTGAAAAGCATTTGTAAAACACAACAGTTTGGGGTTTTGACTTGACTCCGCTGTTGGTCTCTCTCTGCACCCCAAACAACCCATTTCTTCTCCTCACAAGTGCAGACAAAGCTACTGGTCAGGTATACCATTTCTGAATCTTCAGTTCCAAGCATTTTGCACTTTTATTCTTTTTGTCTTATGCATCTAGGAAAAATTTAGATGCATGCAGCATAAAAGGAGGATACTTGTCAGATTATACTTGTACTAGCCCTTTTAAAAATTACTTTCGCTCTCCTCTTCATTCATATGCCTATAAATGTTTCCTTGTCAAATATATATCCCCTTTGAAAGCTACCGTTAAATCTGCTTCCACAATTTACAGTTATCACAGCAAAATAAAAAAAAACTCATTCCCTCACGAGATTTTTTTGACAGTTAACTTAAATCTATCTCCTCTGATTACAGGTCCTTCTGGCAGTGGAAACAATTTTTTCTTGTCTACTGCGGATTTTTGATCACCTTTTATTAACGCATTTGTTTTCAGGAGCATTGCCCAGATTCTCGGGTCTCACCCATAAATTGTAGTCCTTCAGTCCGCTGTCACCGTTCTGGAAAACCTCACCGTACCAATATACCCCTGCCTCCTTAATGTCCCTCTAATGTCTGGAATTGGACATGCTATCCACCAAGGTCTAACTACTGATTTATAAAGAGGTTTAATATCATTTCTTTGTTTGCTTTTGTACTCTTATACCTCCTTTTGTATAAAATCCAGGAATTTGCTTGCTTTTTTAAATAGCTTTTTAAAAAAAAATTTCATGGGGTGTGGGCATCACTGGCTGAGCCGGCATTTTTTGCCCATCCCCTGGTGCCCTTGAACCAGGGAACTTGCTAGGCTGTTTTAGAGAGCAGTGAAGAGTCAGTGTGTCCTTTGAAAATCTGTGGTGTGTAAAATAAAAAATACCCTACAATCTCACAGCAGGATGGCTATTTCCCTGCCAGATTAAGTATTAATCTCTCTACTGTCTCAGGTGTATTTTTCCCACAATGTTCTCCCTCCCCTGAAGGTTGTGCTTCGGGAGGGTCCCGTATCTTTTCCAATGTAGTTCTGTTATCTTTCTCTTTTATAGGACATGGAACCATAGGAACAGAAGTAGGCCATTCGGCCCCTTGGGCCTGTTCCACCATTCAGTGAGATCATGGCTGATCTGTGGCCTAACCTCAGAGACCTGTCTTTGGTCCAAAACCCTTAAGGCCTTTACTTAACAAAAAGTTTAAATCTGAGATAGGCAAATTAACAACTGATCCAGCATCCACTTTTGTTTGCGGGAAGAGAGTTCCAAACATCTACCACCCTTCCTAACATTGCTCCTGAATGGTCTGGCCCTAATTCTCAGACTGTGCCCCCAGTTCTAGAATCCCCAACCAGTGGAAATCGTTTACCTTTATTTACCCTGTCTTTTTGTGTTAATATCTTGAAGACTTTGATTAGATCACCCCTTAAGTTCATAAATTCTAGAGAAAGCTGACCTAATTTGCATAATCTCTCCTCATAGCCTAACCCCTCAGGTCTGGGTATCTTTTCTAGAAGGCTGGTTATAATTTCTGCTCTAGTACCACAGTAAACAACTGTTAGTCATGAATGAGGTCAGATACTGGGTGCTGAGACAAATTATTACTTTTTATTCGTCCATGGTCTGTGGGCAGGGCTGGGCAGATCAGCATTTATTGCCCAGAGGACAGTTAAGAGTTAGCCACATTGCTGTGGGTCTGGAGTCACATGTTGGCCATACCAGGTGAGGCTGAAGGTTTACTTCCCTAAAGGACATTAGTGAACTGGATGGGTTTTTACAACAATCAGTAGTGGTTGCATAGTTGCCATTAGGCTGGCTTTTAATTTCAGGGCTTCTTTTTGTTTAATTCAAATAATCTCCATCTGCCAAGGTGGGCTTTGAACCCACATCTCCAGAACATCAGCGTGGGATTCTTGATTACAAACTTAGTGACATTACCACTCTACCATTACCTCCCCCAACTGAGATTCACTGGGGTTGATGGGAGGGTGGTAGGGAGGAGGAGGGAAGGAGGAAGCCTGAAATATTCTCTCACCTGCAGTTCTCAGCAAGTGTCACTGGATGGCGATCACATGCCTGTCAGGGCACAGCAATTGGATTGCCCCTTCAATGTGACTTGTCTGTGATCACTCACTGCATATAGAGCCCAGATAAAGTCCGGGATCAGCCAACTCTCCACGATATAGAGTCATAGAGCACGGAAACAAGCCCTTTGGTCCATCCCGTCCATGCCGACCAGGTTTCCCATACTGAACGAGTCCCATTTGCCTGCGTTTGGTTCATTTCCCTCTAAACCTGTCCTATCCATGTACCTGTCCGAATGTCTGTTAAATGTTGTAATTACACTCGTCTCTACCACTTTTTCTGGCAGCTTGCTCTATACACACACCAGCCTCTGTGTGGAAAAAGTTGTCCCTCGGACCCCTTTTACATCTTTCCCCTCTCACCTTAAACCTACGCTCTCTAGTTTTGAACTCCCCTCCCTGGGGAAAAGGCATTAGCTATTCACCCTATCCATGCCCCTTGTGATTTTATACAGGAACACAAAACACACAACATCTCGGACTCTTGAGGATGAGAGTTCTAGGTGTTTACAATCTTAATTTCAGACACTCACTGAAACCTACCTCTCACCAAGTGCTGACCACACCTATTGTAATATCTTCTGATGTGTCTCTAAGTTAGACTCTGTCAGAGAATCCCATCCCTTTTAGGTGCTATATAAACGCAAATTCTTTACTGTTTATATTTTGTTTGCTGATTTTGTTCCTGAATGACCCTGCTGTAATTCCACATTTGCACCCCCTTGTTTCTGGCGATGTTTTTCAGGGAGACAGTTCTCATTACGGCAGCCGCTGGTGCAGCTGGACTTGCAGCTGTGGATTCTGCATCCCATGTTCTAAACACTAAGGTATGAAAATTTTGTTTGTAATGTGTGTTTCTATAAATGGCCTGCCTTGCATTTACCATTTTCCTGTGTGGCATTGTTCTCACAGAAGGAGATATGAGAAGTAAACACATGCACACACCCTCACACATATTGTTCTCATCCCAGAGATATGGATTGTTCAGAACAAAGTTACATTGTAACTGGGTAGCACGGCAGGATAGTGCTTGTTAATCGAGGTCGGCCTAATATGAACATAGGAAGATGGTGAACAAGGAAAGATTGGATGATCCATTATGGCTGTTTCTCACTGTCAATACTCCCATGTGCCTTATGAAGGGGAGTTCTGGAAGCATTGTGTTTCGACTGAAGTATACCTGTCCTGACCACTTGGGCAGACGTTACAAATCTCACAACATCATTTGAAGAAGCACAGAAATCTCCTGAAATCCTTCACATTATTCTTCCAACAGCAGACACCACCATTCATTTTCCTCCCCATTTATTGGCAGCGCCATCTGTATTTGCCTGTTTCAGAGTAATCGTCTGTGTGAAGCCATGTTCCTAGTTTATGTGATAAAAGTACTGTGAAATGTTACAGACAATTTACAGCACAGTAATGGCTTGAGTTTACGTTGCTGAAAAGCTTCATCCAGTTTATTTCAACCTACCTATCTACATATTATTCCTTTGTTGAGGTTGATTGGCTCACCGAGCTGGTTTGTTGTTCCACAGACGTTTCGTTACTATGCTGGGTAACATCCTCAGTGCAGCCTCCGATGAAGCGTCGGTGTGTTTTCCCGCCTGGTTTTTAAACACTGGAGTCCATTGAGCTGGATTGCCTCACTTCCGGTTTTCCTTCGTAGTGGAGTGTATATGGGGTCGAGTTCTATGTGTTTATTAATCGCTTTCTTCGTGGAGTGCCAGGCTTCTAGGAATTCCCGTTCCTGTCTCTGCTTAGCTTGTCCCAGGATTTTGGTGTTGTCCCAGTCGAATATTATTCCTTTCTCTCTTATGGGGTTGTCTGATTTCCCATTAAATGCATCAATGCAATATTCTACAACTACTCTGTGTAACTGGTACCTGGTCAGTTGCTGTCAGGATCCTGACAATGTACCAGTCAAATAAGAGCATTTGTTTTAATTTGACGTTTCCATTTCATCAGCTATTCTTCCGGCTACTGAAAAAAAAAAGAAATGCAACTGTTTCATTCACAAACAGAATTCATTTTCTGCATATCCTGAATCAAACACGATATTGCGCTTCCTTCTCAAAAATAGGCTAGTGGTTGTGCCTTTAGGCTTTGTTCTGATTCTTCTTGTTTACAAATCCAATCGACTTTGTATAATTTTAAGGGTGTCATCAAAAGCAAGTACAATGGACCAGATTTAACTATTTGGTTCTGAGCCATCCCAGCGTTGACTGCATGCCCAACAATAAGTCCTGCTTTCTCTCTGTAGGTCATTGCAGCTGCTGGGACTGATGAGAAGTGTGAACTGGCAGTGCAGAAGGGTGCTGTGGCAAGCATCAATTATACTACAAAGAACTTGAAGGAGGAGGTGAAAAAGCTGACTGCAAACAAAGGGGTGAATGTGGTCTTCGATGCCGTTGGAGGAGACATATTCAAGGATGCCTTCAGCAGGTATTTTCATTGCTGTCAAGTGTGATTGAGTATTAAATCTAACAAAATGTAGCAAGTTATAACAGTGAAACACTGGCTTTTCCTGCAGTCCACTGTGATCTCTGTCTCAGCTAAGGGAAGCAATCTGTCAGATGTCAGGCTATTCCTCATCAAGACGGAAGTAGCTCTGAGGGGATTGAATATTCATGCCACTGGTCTGCCAATGCATGCCTCAACCTCAACAGGTCAGCCAAATGATAGTGAAGGATACAAAATAATCTGGGATCAGGTTATATCTATTGTTGTTGTCCTTGGTTCAGTTTGGGTTGGAGAATTACTGGCAAGATAATAGTGTGGGGTGGAATCAGCAGCAGAGTGGGTGCAGAATTTGTGGACTTTTAGCATTGTATGTATTCCCAATGAATTTTAAATTGATATCAACCTACAATATGCTAGTGATCTAAGCTTTTAGTTGGGAGATTCAGAGAGTGGTGGAAATGTGGATCTCACAAGGGGAAGCTTGATAATTGACTAAGAGAGAAGAGATCAGAAGAATATGCTGGATGGAGTGAAATGAAGTTCAGTAGTTGGAGGCTTGTGCAGACCATGATGATTGGTATAGACTGTCAGGCCCTGTTTCTGTGTTACAAATTTTGTGAAATAATAAAATGGGCCATCGACATTGCTAGCATCTGATATCTAGATTGCAAAAATTTTGAAAATTAAGCACTGCTACTGGAAGACAATGCATTACTTTCACCATGATGGGACTACTTCAATACAATATAAATGAGTAGGAATAGGCCATTCAAGCCTGCTCAGCTATTGTAGATCATAGCTTATCAGCTGCCTCAACAGCATTTACCTGTGGTGTCTCCACATACTTTGATATCTTTAGTAACTGGAAATCTATTGGTTTCTGTCTTGAACTTACTCAATAATTGAGTATTTACATCTCTCTGGGATGGAGAATTCCAAAGATTCTGAATGAGGAGGTTCCTCTTTATTCTGGTCCTATATGGCTCCCTCTTTATTTTGAGACTGTCTCCTGGCTCTAGACCATCCCTGCCCATCCAGGGGAAACATCCTTTCTGCATCTATCCTTTCTATCCCTTTAGGAATTTTGTAGGTTTCAATGCAATCACCTCTAATTTACCTCTCAATCCTTCTAAACTCCAGAAAAAACAGGCCTAGACTGCTCAATCTTTCTTCATACGTCAGTCCCACCATCCCAGCAATTATAGAGTCTTTGAGATGTACAACACGGAAACAGATCCTTCAGTCTAACTCGTCCATGCTGACCAGATTTCCTAAATAAATTCTAGTCCCATTTGCCAGCATTTGACCCATTTCCCTGAAAATCTTTTATATTCACGTATCCATCCAAATGCCTTTTAAATGTTGTAATCGTACCGACCTCCACCACTTCGTCTGGCATCTCATTCCATACATGCACCACCCTCTGCATGAAAACGTTACTCCTCTGGTCCCTTTTAGATCTTTCCCCTCTCACCTTAAACCTTTGCCCTCTAGTTTTGGACTCCCCATCTTTGGGAAAAGACCTTGTCTGTTTACCCTATCCATGCCCCTCATGATTTTATAAACCTCTATAAGGTCACCCCTCAGCCTCTGATGGACCGCGGAAAATAACTCCAGGCTATTCAGCCTCTCCCTATAACTCAAACCCTCCAACCCCGGCAACATCCTTGTAAATCTTTTCTGAACCCATTCAAGTTTCAAAATATCGTTCCTACAGCAGGGAGACCAGAATTAATGTGCTGAACCTCTGCTATACTCCCACTTCGGCAAGTATATATCTTTCTTGGTAATTTCAGGTAATCTGTTAATCCAAACAGCTAGTTTTGTGTGGGTTTTATCATGTCTTCCAAGTCTGCAGCAGATTTTCCTGGTTTAGTTAATCAGTCTTTGTGTTTGAAAGACCATCTGCCTTTGAATATCTAGTATGTCATTGGAATTATTCAGTAACTAGAAACAGTGGATCAGCACATAGGCTAAACATGGCAAAAAACTATTGCCATATGTAGTAGTTATTTTCTTCGTAATGCAGAAAGTGAGTGTTTGGTTCAATACATATCCTTTCTCTTTCTTCCTCCTTCAATTTCGAAAGTGGAGTAAATCCTGTTCACCTATCACCCTGTGCTTCTTAACCTGTACTGACTCCCATTTATGCAAGCTTCAATTTTAAAATTTGCATCAATGTTTTTTAAAACCTTCCATAACCCTACCCATCCTTATTTCTGTAAACTCCTCCAACTCCACAACCCCCTAAGGTAATTCAATCTCTTGAGCACTCACAGGGAGACAATGGCATTGTGTTGATGTCACTTGTCAAGTAATCTGGAGACCCAGGTTAATGTTCTTAAGAACATTGGTTCAAATCTAACCCCACGGCAGTTGGTATCAGTTAAATTCAATAAATAAAAATCTGGAATGTGAAGTTAGTCTCAGTAACAGTGCCATGAAAGTATTACCGATTGTTATAAAAACCAATCCAGTTCATTAATGTCCTTTAGTGAAGGAAATCTGACATCCTTACCTGGTTTGACCTGTGTGTGACTCCAGGTCTGCAGCAATGTGGTTGACTCTAGACTGCCCTCTGAAATGGCTGAGCAAGTTACTCAGGGCACTTAGGGATTGGATACAAATGTTGGTCTTGCCAGTGATGCCTACATCCTTTGAAAGAATTCTTAAAGAAGGTTGATCAGCCATGATCAAATTGAAGGGTACAGCAGTCACGAAAGGCCAAATGACCTACTCGTGTTCCTGTTTTCTATGTTTTTTACGTAAACAGATGCTTCCTCTGCCCTCTCAAATGAATGAATTGAGAAGATATCCCTTGCTATCCTTCAAACCATATCCTGTGGTATTGTTTTGAAGAAAAGCAAGGGATATCTTCTCAATGCTTTGGCCAGCCTTTATCCCTTGATAAAGACAACTAAAACAGCTTATCTGTCCAGTTAATAGATTGGCAGAAGTGTAAACTGGCTGCTGTATTTCCTCCATTGTGAGACAAACTATGCTTCAAAAATACTTCATTTTCTGCCCGGTGCTTTGGGATGTCCTTGAGAAACACAATATAAATGTGAGTCTTTCTTTTATTTTTCATGGTCTTGCTTTAATGAACTTGGCACATGTGACTCATGTTTTGTGTCTCATTTGTCTCAGCCTAGCCTGGGAAGGCAGAATCGTGGTTGTCGGATTTGCTGGCGGAAATATACCGTCTGTGCCAGCTAACCTTCTGCTTCTCAAGAACGTGGCAGCCATGGGTGTTTATTGGGGAAGATACCAACATCAAGATTTCCCAGTCTTCTCTAGGTCCATCATGTCTGCAGTCCAGTACTGTCAGGAAGGAAGGATCAAACCTCGGGTTGGGGCTGTTTATAAACTGCAACAGGTAAATGCTAATGGGAAAGGAAATCTAGACACTTCATGACAGGACCTCATTTTCTGCAGATAATCTTTTTAAGGGCTCAGACACATGAAACACAAACAAAAGATACAGGGGATGCGTGATAGGCTCATCATTGTCTGTAAAGAGAAAAGATAGGTTAATATTTTGGTCATTCTCCTTTGCCAGGTCTGAAAGATCAGCAAGTCCCTTAGGAGGACTGAAAATGAAGAGATAGTTGGGAGGGTAAAGAAGGGAAATTCAAAACAGGGAGGTGATGGCCTAGTGGTATTATCGCTAGACTGTTAATCCAGAAACTCAGCAAATGTTCTGGGGACCCAGGTTTGAATCTGCCATGGCAGATGGTGGAATTTCAATTCAATAAAAATATCGGAATTGAAGAGTCTACAGATCACCCTGAAACCATTATCGACTGTTGGAAAAAACAATCTGCTCATTAATGTCCTTCAGGGTAGGAAGTCTGCCAGCCTCACCTGGTCTGACCTGCGTGTGACTCTAGACCCACTGCAATGTGGTTGACTCTCAATTGCCCTCTGAAATGGCCTGGCAAGCCACTCAGTTGTACCAATCGCTATGAAGTTTCAAAAAAGAAATGAAACCGGATGGACCAGTAAACATTGACCTAGGCACCGGAAAAGACAATGGCAGTAACAGCCCTGTTGACCGTGCAAAGTCCTCCTTCCTAACATCTGGGGACGAGTGGCAACATTGAGAGACCTGTCTCTCAGACTAGTTCAGTAACAGCCCGAATGGTCATACTCACGAATCATACCTTACAGACAATGTCCCAGACACCACCATCGCCATCTCTGCATAGGTCCTGTCCCACTGGCATGACAGACCCAGCAGAGGTGGCAACACAGTGGTATGTAATCAGGAGGGAGTCACCCTCAGAGGCTTTAACATTTACTCTGGATTCCGTGAAGTCTCATGGCTTCAGGCTAAACATGGGCGAGGAAACCTCCTGCAGATTATCAGGTAGCATCCTGCCTCAGCTGATGAATCAGTCTCTCCTCCATGTTGAACAACACTTGGAAGAAGCACTGAGGATGGCAAGGACACAAAATGTACTCTGGGTGGGGGATTTCAATGTCCATCACCAAGAGTGGCTCGGCAGCTGTACTACTGATCAAGCTGTTCGGGTCCTAGAGGACATAACTGCTAGACTGGATCTGCAGCAGGTGGTGAGGGAACCAACGAGAGGGAAAAACATACTTGACTTCATCCTTACCAATCTGCCAGCTGCTGATGCATCTGTCCATGACGGTATTGGTAAGATTGACCATCGCACAGTCCTTGAAAATAACCTCCATCATGTTATGTGGCACTATCACAGTGCTAAATGAGACAGACTTCGCACAGATCTAGCAACTCAAGACTGGGCACCCATGAGGTGCTGTAGGCCATCAACAGCAGCAGAATTGTACTCCAGCACAATCTGTAACCTCATGGCCCGGCATATCCCCCACTCAACTATTACCATCAAGCCAGGGGATCAACACTGGTTCAGTGAAGAGTGCAGGAGGGCATGCCAGGAGCAACACCAGGCATATCTGAATATGAGGTATCAATCTGGTGAAGCCACCAAACAGGACTACTTGCATGCCGAACAGCATAAGCTGCAAGTGATAGAGCTAAGCAATCCACAACCAATGGATCAGATCCAAGCTCTGCAGTCCTGCCACATCCAGTTGCGAATGGTGGTGGACAGTTAAACAACTCACTGAAGGAGGAGGCTACACAAATATCCCCATCCTCAATGATGGAAGAGCCCAGCACGTCAGTGCAAAAGATAAGGTTGAAGCTTTCACAGCAATCTTCAGCCAGAAATGCTGAGTGGATGATCCATCTTGGCCTCCAGTGGTCCCCATGATTACAGAATCCAGTCTTCAGCCAATTTGATTCACTCCATGTGATATCAAGAAAAGCTGGAGACACTGGATACTGCAAGGCTATGGGCTGTGACAGCATTCCAGCAATAGTACTGAAGACTTGTTCTCCAGAACTCGCTGCTCCCCTCGCCAAGCTGTTCCATTACAGTTACAACACTGGCATCTACTTGACAATGTGGAAAATTACCCAAGTATGTCCTATACACAAAAAGCAAGACAAATCCAACATGGCCAGTTACCGCCCTATCAGTCTACTGTTGATCATCAGTAAAATGATGGAATGTGTCCTTAACAGTGCTATCAAGCAGCACCTGCTCAGCAATAACTTGCTCAATGGTGCCCAGTTTGAGTTCCGCCAGGGCCACTCAGCTGCTGACCTCTTTATAGCCTTCATTCAAACGTGGACAAAAGAGCTAATTCCAGAGTTGAGGTGACAGTGACAGCACTTGACATCAAGGTTGCATTCAACTGAGTGTGGTATCAAGGAGCCCTAGCAAAACTGGAATCATTGGGTATCAGAGCAAACTCTCAACTGGCTGGAGTCATAGTGGGCGTGTAGGAAAAAGGATGTGGTTATTAGAGGTAAGTCGTCTCATCTCCAGGACACCTCTGCAGGAGTTCCTCAGGATAGTATCTTAGGCCCAAACAACTTTTGATTTGATTTATTGTTGTCGATGTACCAAGGTACAGTGAAAGGTGTTGTTTTGCTTGCTCTGTAGTCAGATTGAACCATATAAAGTGCTTCTGTTAGGACAACAGAGTGAAGAATACAATATTAGAGCCGCAGAGAGAGACAGATCAAAATTAACATTTGAGGGGTCAGTTCAGATGTCTGAGAACAGCAGGGAAGAAGCTGTTCTTGAATCTGTTCATTTGTATATTCAAACCTTTATATTCCCTATCTGACAGAAGAGAGTGGAAGAGAGTATAATCTGGGTGGGAGGGATCTTTGATTATGTTGGTTGCTTTCCTGAGGCAGTAGCAAGTATAGATGGAGTCAGTGGATGGAAGGCTGATTTGCGTGATGGACTGGGCTGTGTTCACGACTCTCTGTAGTTTCTTGTGGTCTTGAGAAGATGTGGTTGCCATACCCCGCTGTGATGCATCCAGACAGGATGCTTTCTATGGTGCATCTGTAAAAATTGGTAAGAGTCTTTGTGGATGTGCTGAATTTCCTTAGCCTTCTGAGGAAATGGCGGTGTTGTTGTGCTTTCTTGACCATCATGTCAACATGGGCGGACCAGAACAGATTGTTAGTGATCATACTCCCAGGAACTTGACGTTCTGGACCATCTCCGCCTCAGTACCATTGATGCAGGCAAGGATCAAGTCATTGACTAGCTCCTTCATTTTGCTGACATTGATGGAGAGATTGTTGTCTTTACACCGTGCCACTAAGCACTTGATCTCTTTCCTGTACTCTGTTTCGTCGTTGTTTGAGATCTTACTTATAGCAGTGCTGTCAGCAAACTTGTAAATGGAGTTGGGGCGGAATTTGGCCACAAAGTCACGGGTGTCTAAGGAGTACAGTAAGGGGCTGAGTACGCAGCCTTGTGGGGCATAGATGTTGAGGATTATCGTGGAGGATGTTGTCGCCTATTCTTACTGATTGCAGTCCATGGATCAGGAAGTCGAAGATCCAGTTACAGAGGGGGAGCTGAGACCTAGGTCTCAGAGTTTGGAGATGAGTTTGTTTGGAATCATGGTGTTGAAGGCGGAGCTGTAGTCAATAAGTAGGAGCCTGGTGTAGGTATCGTTGTTATCCACATGTTCCAGGGATGAGTTTAGGGCAAGGGAGATGATGTCAGCCACCTCCGGCTGCTTCATTACTTACCTTCCCTCCATCATAAGGTCAGAAGTGGGGATGTTTGCTGATGATTGCACAATGTTCAGCACCATTCGCGACGACTCAGATGTTGAAGCAGTCAGTGTTTAAATGCAACAAATCTGGACAATATCCAGATCTGGGCTGACAAGTGGCAAGTAGCATTCATACCACACAAATGCCAGGCAATGACCGTCTCCAGTAAGAGACCATCTAATCACCACCGCTTGACAATGTTACCATCACTGAACACCCCACTGTCAACATCTTCGGGGTTATCAGAACTCAACTGGATGCATCACGTAAACACAGTGGCTACAAGATCAGCTCAGAGGCTAGAAATATTGCAGTGAGTAACTCACCACCTGACTCCCCAAAGCCTGTCCACCATCTACAAGGCACAAGTCAGGAGTCTGATGGAATACTCCCCACTTACCTGGATGGGTGCAGCTCCACTCAAAAAAACTTGTCACCATCCAGGACAAAGCAGACACCTGATTGGCATCACATCCACAAACATCCACTCTCTCTATCACCAACGCTCAGTGGCAGCAGTGTGTACTATCTGCAAGATGCACTGCAGAAATTTACCAAAGATCCTTTGACAGCATCTTCCAAACCCACAACCACTTCCATCTAGATGGACAAGGGTAGCAGACACATGGGAACACCACGCCCTGCAAGGTCCCCTCCAAACTGCTCGTCATCCTGACTTGGGAATATATCACTATTCCTTCATTGTCGCTGGGTCAAAATTCTGGATTTCCCTCCCTAGGGGCATTGTGGGTCAACCTTCAGCAGGTGGACTGCACCGGTTTGTGAAGGCAGCTCACCACAACCTTCTCAAGGGCAACTAGGTATGGACAATAAATGCTTGCTGGCCAGCGATGCCCATGTCCATGAGTGAACATAAAAAAAAACCATTATCAGAGAGGATAACAGGTTTAATGATATGCAAACTACATGACAGAGCTCTTATTTGGTATATCTCGGACTCGACATTAACTTATCTTTTTGTATATCAGACAGTAGTCTCTGTTAAAGAATTTGTATGTCATTGAACCTATTAACTTGTATGTGACTGGGATATCTCTCCCCATAGATGCTGAGTTCTTCCACCATTTCTGGTTTTATTTAAGATCACCAAAATTTGCATTACTTTGCTTTTCTTAAGAAAAGAGACCTTGTTGAGGAGCTGTGAATATATTAAATGAATATTGCAGTGTGTGAGATGAATGAAGGGTCCAAGTAAAGACAAACGCAACGTA